CATTGGAATCACTGGTACGTTTCCGTTCCCCTTTCTTTTGCGTCTACGGCGATTGCGCCTGCGTGCTTTTCCTCTAACACAATGTGGGCACCAGCTTCGGCAAGGTAAATGCGTCGCGCTATGCGCCTCAACTTCCTCCTTCGAGGGCCTCATGTCACAGTAAACTTTCTTTGGTAACTCCGCTTCATCACTCACAAATACATCTCCCACATCACTCAACTCACTCTCGTTGCCCCCACTGTCACTCCCTTCGTCTCCTTCGGTATTGAAGACGTTTAAGTTTTTGCTTGGTCTTACGGGTGATGGGGGGCTTAGTAGAATAGGTCCGCCTCCAGGGTTCCCGGCCGCGGAAAACCCTCAGCTGCGTTCACTTCACTCCTGGGATTGGCAGTCTCCGCTAGTCCCCTCGGCACCCTGATGTTAAACTGAAGCGTGCCATGTTTCTCGTGGATGGTTGTGGACTTACCTGTGGTCTTGTTCATGATGTAGCTCAGGGATCTCCCGTTAAGATCCTTGTCAAACACAACTCTATTTCCAGCGTTTACCATCCCTCTGACGGATCCCAGAACCTTGTTGACTTCTGCTACCTGGATCGGCATGCTGACGGCGTTCCCATGCTCATTTTTGCCCGTGATCACTCGTTGACCATAATTCTTTATCGTTGTCCCATTCGCTGCGCTGCAATGTCTTCCCTGCTTCGATGCGTCCGCATGTTTAATGGGGAAATGAGTGCCAACTTTGGGGGGCCCCACTGTATTGTATGCCCCAGAGTCCACGGTAACCACGATCGTCTCATGCGTTGCACTCAGTGGTGGCACCGCGTTAATTTCTGGATCACAGTCCCGCATCTCAATTAGCCCAATTTCCTTGCACTTCTCCAGCCAACTTTTTTCCTGCTTTATGCTTTTACTTATCCTCCGGTCCCATTGACTCGCATGATTATAATATCCGTTGCATTGGTGTTCCTGGTAAATCTTTTCAAACTCATCGCGGTTTTACGTGCCATTTTCTTTCTGGCATAAGAGGGCAGATCCCATTGCCCGTTAACCTCCTCAGTAGCAAGTTGGTCCAGTGGCACGTTCACTGCGTCCTTCATCTCAACACTGAGAACATGTTGCGGTTGGCCGAACGAGGTGGTTTGTTCACTTTCAGCGTTTATTGTAGGTCTCTCCTGCTCAACTTCGTCGGCGGTCTTCTTGGGGCCCGGGCAGTTAATGGCGATGTGCCCTTTTGCACCGCACTTGTAACACTCACGCTCGCTATGAGGGGTGAATTTTCCTTGGCCCCCATAACTTCCACCCCACGAGCCACTTCCTTTACCACCTTGTTTGCCTCCGATCTTACCCTTCACATAGGATCCGTAGGTGGCCCGGTAACCCTTGCCTTTTCCACCTGTGCCACCTTTACCTCCTTTGGTGAACTGTTTAGGTATTGCGTTTGTTCTGGCTAAATGACCCATGCCCCCACAATTGTAACACCTGGGGCCCGCTCCTTTGCCTTTGCCTTTGTTTACGGCGTCAATTTCTTCATGGCCCCCACTGTCACTCTCATTGGCCCAGGACCCGTAGCTCCACGATCCATCTTCTGGCCACCAGTTTCCGTCTTCGTCAACCCATCCTGTTTGGTCCCAAACATTTTCGGACCCTTGGCCCATCTCGTTGACGTTCCCAATGTCCATTGCATCCTTATTTTTCGTGTCTGAGTCGAGTTTCTTTTTACGCGCCCAGTCTTCGCACTTTGAGTACAACTTCTGGAATGAGTCAATGTTAAGCGCGTCGGGCGTTCGCCAGCACGCCTGCTGCCATTCGTCAAACCAATCGTTCGCATGCACCATTATTGCCCTGAGTGCGGTGACTTTAAAAGGAAGAGGCAGCGAGTAATATTTACCGTATTTTTCAAGGTTTTCTGCCAATGCGCTCCACTCCTCAAGTCGGGTAACGGTGTCAGTAATCTTCTTGGGCGGCTCAGGGTTCATGGCATGTGTCATCTTTGATGATAGGGTCGCTCCGGTTACCGCCGAGTACCATTTGTAGACCTTCTGCCAAGCCATGATTCCATCTCCATCCATAAGTCCCTTTAATTTTCCTCTGGCTTCTGCACCTTCGAGCTTCTCGTTTAGAATGTACCACAAGTCTTCCTCCATCTGAGTTTTGTCTCCCTCGGTAAACTCGTATTCGCCTTTGTTGTCATCCTCTGCCTGTTTAGCTGGATTCGCCTTCAAATATTCGCTTGCTGTTAATCGGCCGTTCATTATGCGTATGATGTCATCATCGTCCTCTTCTGGTACGACTCCGTCAAGCGTCTCCAACTTCTTGTTTAGCATCTTCAGCGCCGGTCGGTAACTCGGTTTCACTTGGGCCAGCGCGTTCAAGAACTTGTCGTTCCAGTCTCTGAACTTTGCTCTTTCTCCACTGGAGTTCTTTAGCGCCTGTAATGCCTTATATTCGCTTATCGGTTTACCGCTCCCGTGCTTGCTTCCACTTCCTCCTTTAGTTGCTTCCGAAAGCTGACCGAATCTCTCAATCAACTTTTCTTGTACCTCGCTGTTGGTCTCCAACTCGGTGACTCTTTCCACCAGTCTGCGAGCATCCCTTTCGAGTGCAGCATTTCTTTTTGTGATCGCTAACAACATGCTGTTGGTCTTATGGGCACTCTGTAACATTTGGAATGCTTCGGCGTTCGATACCTCCCTTCGATCCTGTGTCACTCGCTCGTTGATGAACGTTGCGAGTCCGAAATGGTTCGCGAGTAGCGCTGTCTGAACGTAACTGAAGTCTCCGTTCAAGTATGCTTGCTCGCACAGGTCGTTGAAGCGGTTAGGGTCCATGTTGACCCATGCATCTCTGTCTGCCGGCACATTGAGGTTAACCGGCGGGTCGCCCTGCCCAGGCCTGGCTGCAGCTGCCGCCGCCGCCGCCATGGCAACCGCGCTCCGCTACCATTCAAAACCCCGAGGAGGGTTCTGCACGGGAGCCTGGCAACAATGATAATGATCGGTCACCTTTATACTCCCGAACGGCAAAGCAGGTCTCAGTAGCTTCAGCCGTTAAACACTTGAGCCAAAGGCAACCCCTCCTTCCTCCTCTCCCCTCCTCCTCCTCCTCCCTCCTCCTCCTCCCCCTCTCCTCCTCCTCCTCCTCCTCCTCCTCTCCTCCTTCCTCCTCCTCCTCCTCCTCTCCCCTCCTCCTCCTCCTCCTCCTCCTCCTCCTCCTCCTCCTCCTCCTCCTCCTCCTCCTCCTCCTCCTCCTCCTCCTCCTCCTCCTCCTCCTCCTCCTCCCTCGACCCTCGTTCTCCTCCCTCACCCCGCTCTCCCCTCAGTGTCCCTACGACTCTCCGCACATCTTCAAGCTCTCGCGAACGCCGGTGGCGACGTGGGGCAGGAGGCGGAGATGCAGATTGCGAAAAGACTGCCAAAACGCTCGCCGACACTAGCCCCGCGTTCCCCGACCCCCCTCACCCCTCCCCCCCTGGATACTCCTTCCCGTCCCCCCCCTCCTCTACCGCCTGCGTGCCGTTCCCATCATCAGCACATCACCCCTCCTTCCCTCTCAGCCCCCTAGCACCCTCCACTGTCCTGATCCCGTTTCCCCTTTCCTGCACGCAGAGGGCACCACACATACACCGCCACCAGTGCCTGGCCAGGGCCATCCTGGGCCCTCGCACGGTGTACATACGCCCTCGTGGCCGAGACCGGGAGGCCTGCGCACAATCCTGGGGCCCAGGAGCCCCAGACGTCTGTCGATATGATTCCCTACCTAGGCTCTGCCTAGAGGGTTCTTACTCTCTGTGCTTAAAGGGGCCGGGCAGTGTTCCTCGCCCTGGGCGATTCCCCCGGCATCCGCCCCGCGGTTCCCCCAGTTACGCCCCCTTAGCTTAGCGTTGCTTATCTCATCGTAGCTTAGCTTAGCTGAGCTTAGCTTAGCTTCATCTTAGCTTCGATTAGCTGTAGTTTCGTTTCGCTTAGCTTAGCTTAGTTTAGCTTAGCTTAGTTTAACTAAGCTACAGCAACAGCAACAGCAAAGCAAAGCACTAGGAACGCAAAGCAAAGCACAAGCAAAAGCAAAGCAAAGGAAAGGCAAAGCAAAAGCAATGTGCAACAGCACGATCAGAGAGCCCACCTGGTGAGCGAATGCAAAAACATGCGTGTGTGTGTGTGTGCGAAGGCAAAGCAAAAGCAAAACCAAGCAAAAGCAAAAACAAGCAAAAGCAAAGGCAACTACGACGATAAGAAGAGGGAGGAGGACGGCGTTTACCGTTACTACTAATGCTGCTTTCCTAGGGGCTCCAACTCCTAGGTAGGGTCGCACTGGGGTAATTTCTCAATGCGCGGCCCCAGGGGTCCCGAACCCTTCCCCGGGAGTAGTTTTTCGCCCCCCATCCGTTTTTGATGGCCTTCGGGCCTCGCTGGAGGCCAGAATCCAAGAAACACGCACCCGCAATGTAAAGATTGTAACATCGGAGATCTTGGAAGGCAATGGCCAGGCACGGTGGTCGCATACGGGTGCCCTCTGCGGGCCCTCGTGATCAGCTAGTCGGTGGTGGCCCACGGATGCCGTCTGCGGATCACCTGCCCCTGCCTCGTCATTGAGGTCTTAACGACTTCTGGCATCCCTCGACTCGCCGCGCTGGAGTTTCCTCGGTTTTGCTCCAGGCTTGCCCCGACAGTTCTGGGTCTGCCTCGGCGCATCTGCATCTGCCTCGCTGCACAGATCTGAGCGTACCTCGCCTTCCAAAAACCTATATATCCTGATGGGCCCGTTCTCCACCACCACCACTGGAGGGGGAAGGAGGTGGAGGATTATCTAGGAGGAGGAGGAGGAAGAGGAGGAACCCCCTCCCCCACCTACTTATGGTGGTGGCGGTGGAAGACAAGCCCACCATCCCCTGATCCCTGCACGTCGACAGAAGAGAAGTCGCCAGACCAGGGGGGGCTGGCCGGCTGGCCGGGGCCCGAGGTGGCCGCACTGCCCGCGTCCCGCGGGGGGGGGGGAGGGGCGCGCCTTCTGCGAGGTAGGGCACAGTGTGGCCGAAGCCTGCGTGCCGACGCCTCCGCTCCGCTGGAGGGGGCTCTCTGGGGAAAACACCCTCCTCATCTTCCTCCCCTCCTTCCATTCGTGTCCGTCAGTCGTCGTCTCCGTCGTCCCCTTTCCCGGCACCCCCCTCCTCAAGATTGCCAGCGAAAGGCAAACCTAGCAATGTCGTAATCGACCCTATACATATGCACATATCCGCGCACGAGGCCCGGGCGCCCGGGGCCGCGACCTGGAGCGGGCATGTGAAGGGGCCTTGGGACACACAAATAAATACACACAAATAAAAATACTCCACATGTTTTCCCATATTTGGGGGGGTTTTCGTCTTCCCCCCCCCACTTCCCATATTTTCCCATATTTTCCTGGAAACCGACGAATAATTGTGTCTGTGTGTTTTTTCCCTCCTGACCATGGGGGGACCAGGGCCTCCGAGACCGCTCCCAGAGCACCCCGGAGGGGCCGCGGGGCCCCCGGACTGGCCCAGAGAGCTCCAAGACGCTCCCAAAGGCCGGGGACTTCGACAAGCCCCGCCAAGACAGCCCAAATAGCCCCAAGGTGGCCCCGGGTGGGTTCCAAACCGCAAGTGTACAGCCCAAGAGGCTTCCAAGAGGCCTCAAGAGACCTCCGAGAGGCGTCCCGAAAGAGCCCGGAGAGGCCCAAAATCCTTGATTTCGTAGGTTTTTCATGTCTTTCGGTGTCTCGCGTTTTCGACCTTCCGACGCCCCATGACAGCCAGCGACGCCCCCAAGATCGCCCCAAAACCGCCGAAGGGGTCCTCAACGGAGCCCCAAGACTGCCCCAGGGAGCCCGAAAACTGCCCGGGACGAGCCTCCTGCAGCCCAAGAGAGCACCAGGACAGGCCCAAGCTGGGCCCCAGAGCGGGAGCGGGAGGCCCCCTGGCGCTCCACGACGGCCCTGATGGCCCCAACGTGGCCCCGGATGGGCCCAACACGGCCAATACACACTCAAGAGCCCTCCAAGAGGCCCCAACAGAGCTCCGAGAGGCGTCCCGAAAGAGCCCGAAGAGGCCCATATCCTTGATTTCCACTCGGTGGTTCCCCATGTGGTTCGCTTTCTCACGTTCTCGAGCTTCCAACGCTCAAAGACGGCCGAAGACGCCCCCGAAAATCGCCCCGAGACCGCCGAAAAGGCCCCCAAAAGAGCCCCAAGACGACCCAGGAGAGCCTGAAGACTGTCCAAGAGCAGCCCAACATTGCCCAAGAGCGGGAGCGGGAGGCCCCGAGGCTCTCCAAGACGGCCCAGATGATCCCAACGTGGCCCCAGAGGAGCTCAAGACGGCAAACTCACAGCCCAAGAGGCCTCCAAGAAACCCCAAGAGAGCTCCGAGAGACGTCCCGAGAGAGCCCAAAGAGGCCCAAATCATTGATTCGCATTGTTTCGTTTGATGCTTTTCGCTTTCTCGCGTTCTCGAGCTTCCAATGCTCGAAGACGGCCGAAGACGCCCCCAAGACCGTCCAAGACCGCAGAACACGCCCCCAGAAGAGCTCCAAGACGGCTCCAGAGAGCCTGCAAACTGCCCACGAGGAGCTCCAGACGGCCCAAGAGGCCCCAGGACAAGCCCAAGATGGACCACAGAGCGCGAGCAGGAGGCCCCAGGGCGCTCGAAGACGGCCCAGACGGCCCGGGCAAACCCCCTCCGTCCCTCCTTCCCTACCGCACCCTCCCCTCGCCTCCATTCCCTCTTCTCGCCGTTTCCTCTCCTCACCCCTCTGCTTTCGTGCTCCTCCCTCCTCTCCTGGGACGGCCCCGCCAGAGCGCCAAACAGGCCCCGCCAGAGCGAGCGGGGCATCGCTACACCGCATCATTTCACAAGTTGATTTGCCCCACCCACCCCTCGAAGGTGGCCCCAGCAGAGCGAGAGGAGTGTTGATTTACCTTATACAGTCCCCGTTATGTCTTGCTCCTCCAACCGCACCCAATGTAGCCCCGTCTGAGCGCACGGGGTGTGGCTATATCATAAGTTTCCTCGGGTTTCGCGCTCCTCCCTCCCCTCCTGGGCAAGCCCAGCCAGAGCGCCAGGGAAACCCCCGCCAGAGAGACAAGGGCACCAGATTCTTTCACGCGATGTTTGTTCCTTCCACCTTTTGCAGGGCGGTTCCGCCCGAGCGAGCGGGGCGTGGCTATACTATACAATTTCTCCGGTTTCGTGTCCCTCCCTCACCTCCTGAAAAGCCTCGCCATAGCGCCAAGAAGGTACCGCCAGAGGCCCCGTCAGAGCTCCAGGCAGCCCAATACATGGGACTTGCCAGGCAAACCATTAAGCATCCCCCGTAAGCCCGAAGCTTCTGCTCCCACGGGTGCGATTATCGCCAGCATGAGATGTGCTGTCCAGCACAAAGAAGCTTCCCCATAGGGATCTCCACCAAAGGCACCAGCGGCTCTGCCGATACCCGACAGCTGACCGATCGCTGGAAACGAGAAGCTTGGAGCAAAAGGACGACGAACAAAAAGCAACGCGCTCCCACGCGCGCGCAACGAGGCCACGAGCCAACCCCAACATTAGGAGCTGGCGGATGTCTGCGCGATCGGGCATGGGGAGACCGAGCAGATGTGCAAGAGCATTGAGTGTCACGACGGGGCAGAGCGGAAGTGGAAGTGGAGAAAAGAACGCAGTTTGATAAACCAAACAAAGGCGGCAGCGAGATTGTGAGATACGGGGGAACGTGGCGCCCCGCGTTCTGACTACGCGTTTCTTTGCGTCGATGGCATGGGCCCGAGAAAGCTGTAAATCGTCGTTGTGGCCACAGCGGGGCTTACAGCGGCACCCGTGGCTCATCTGCGACTAGAACCTAAGCGCGCGTGCCGCGCGCGTGGTTCTAGTGTGTATGTGTATATATATATATATACTAGAACCATCGCGCGCGCTCCGCGGGCGATCAGGCTCTAGCCGGCTCCGAAGAAGACGACCTTAGCAGGCATGGACCCCATTCCGTGGCGATCCCCCAAATACCAATGACCCGGCCACCCGAGCCCGAACGCCCACACCGAACAGCTGAACCCGAACACCCGAACACTCGCACGCCGTAACCCTTACCCCAACTCCGAAATTCGTACATTCGAGCCCTGACACCTTAACCCTAAGATCAAAACACGATTACAGAAGATCCAACGCCCGAACCCAATCACCGAACACCAGCACCCAAGCCCGACAGCCTGAACAGAGCACCCGAACGCCCGAACATCCCAACGCGACTGCCCTATGCCCAACGCCCGCACCCTCACACGCCAACCCTAACACCCTTACTCTGACGCCCTCACCTTAAGACCCCAACCCGAAAACGCCGAAGACCCGAGCCCTACAACACGAGCCCTAACGCTTGAACACCCCCACCCTTGGCATCCGAAGCCGAACGCCCCGACCCGAACACCCGTGCCCGAACCCTGACGCCCTGACCCCAACGTCTGACCCGAACGCCCTCGCCGAAACATCCCTGCACTCTGACACCCGGCCTCTAATTCTGAACCCAATCCCAGAAAGCGCGCCTGAAATAGAGAAAACCTGCATATCCTCGACGTATCGCGCTCTTCTTTGGCGCTCTCTGGGGACATGTGTAGGGTTAAGGTGGACTTTCTGAAGCTATGGGCCTTGTCGGCCCGCCATGAGTTTTGATGGCGCGGGGTGGCATGGGGTTTTGATGGGTTCCATGTATGGCCTCGCCAAACGCCACGGGCAGCCCGAAGGTGCCACAAAGAGGTCATGGCAGAAAAAACGGGCAGAGGGTGAGGAGGAGGACGAGGACAAGGAAGGAGGCCTTGATGGCATTCTCCGCCGCTACCACGCCAGCTGCGGCCCCCCATGAGGGCCTCAAGGCCCGCAGACGCCCCAGGGAGGCCCTTCAGGACGGCCCCAAAAAAGCCCCAGTCGCGCTCACGGCGGGGATGGGAAGGGCTCGAGTGATGAAAAAAGAGGGGGGGCGATGATGTTGACGACGACGACGACGACGACGACGACTCCCGCTTTTCCCAAACTCCCCGCCACCCACGGTGCGCTCTGTGCCCCTGAGGGTCCGGGACTCATTGCGGGCCTTCGGGAGGCTGTCGAAGGCGGGAAAGCGCTCCCCAAACGGTTCAGGAGGCCTCCGAAACGGTGTGTGATTATGATGCGTTTTAGCGCAATGGCAAAAAAAGGGGGCCCTAGAGGTCAAACGGCGGCGAGTGGCGCATATACACACGTGACACATGCACTTTCTCACACCCGCGAGACTTTATCACGAGCTAGCGGGCAGACCGCGCAGTATCGCTGGTCTAAGTAAGCCTCTAAGGGCAGTTGAAGGAGAACTCCCATGCTGGGATTACTCAAGTCAAGGCAGCCAGGACTCAGTCACCCACTTCCCCGATGGGATAGAATTCACCCTGGCCGTCGCCAGTTGTTTCTTGACCTTCGTAGATTCCAGGTCTGGAATTACAGCATACGAGCTTGCACGTAAGATCTGAACAAGAGATAGTGCAGGCATATTCTTCGTCAGACAAGCAGCAGCCATAATACTTGTATCGATCCATCAGATCTGATCAAAAATATGCGTGGGTGCAAGATACCTAATTCTTCCGTCCCATTAGTCCGAATATCCTGTCTTAAACGGCCCAAATCGATACTCAAGCGCTTATCTTCTGTCTTACCCATCGTTGGGGCTATTAGGTATTATCCAAGGTTTTTACAATCCGTCATGCATAAGCGTCTCATAGACATGGCCGATTTGTCGCCCCAATTGGTTGGCAGCTTCTTTCCGGCGCCAAGCATACCACGCGCATCTGCGATGGCGGCACGAATGCGCACACCCGATTCTACACCCCATAAACAAGCCAGAGTCTCTGATTATAGTGTCGATTTACGCACTCGTTTGACAACTTTACTAGACATATATATATATATACTAGAACCATCGCGCGCGCTTCGCGCGCGCTCAGGTTCTAGCCCAGGCCAGGGGGGCGCTGGACGATCTTGGACAACGCTATCAAGCACAGGCGCGCGACGGCATCTGAGGAGCTTCTGGGG